GAACAAGAGAGACAGTCATACGATTCACGCCCACCAAATGAGTATATGACACGAACAAGAGAGACAGTCATACGATTCATGCCCACCAAATGAGTATATGACGTGAACAAGAGAAATATAACTAAAATCATGGCTGCTGTTGTTGGGGGATGGGGGGCTCCCATGACTAAACAAGCAGCCTGATACAGTAACTATGAAGGAGGGAAAAAGCTGTCATACTTAAAGGAGACACAACACCTACAAACTCATCAGATGGCATCTGGAATATGCTAGTTAATTACTCTCTTTGAGCCTCTTTTTGGTAAAATGGAGATAATTATACTATCTGTTTGACAGGGTTTCAGTAAAATAAAGTTATTAAATAAGGTTAATAAAGAGCTTAGTACAGTGGTTCTCAACCTTCACGACCCTTTCGTACAGTTCCTCATGTGGTGGTGACCCCCAACCATAACATCATTTTCGTTGCTACTTCATCAATGTCATTTTGCTACTGTTATGAATCGGGTGACCCACAGGTTGAGAACCTCTGACTTAGTAGAATGTTCAAAAAGTACTCAGTAAATGTTAGCTGTAATAATAGGCGTAATTCAGAAGGTAAAATGCTCTAAAATTTATTAAATACTGAATCAGTTTTGTAAGTTTAAGATTCACTTTCTAGAGAATTTGCTATTTTTTATATATCATTTATTTTCCAAAGCATATTTTAAACTTCCGCAAGTGATCTCCAATCCTAATATTCTAATCATTTAAAAGGATATTAAGTCTCATACTATTTATACTTTTCAGGATCATAAAAACCTCTCTATCTCTCTTTTCATTTTTAAATGCTGTAGTTTCATCTTTTTAGATAGGTCACAAATTCTACTGCTCACACTAAGAACATGAACAGAAATAAGAAAAGGAATTACATTTATAAAATCGGTAGGATTTTCTAGTGTTTTGGAACAAATATTTTTGCTTTATACAAGTTTAAATCATTAAGAAACTCTTTGGGGGAAAAAAGCCCCCAACTTAAAATATATATATATTGTTTAGTAACAACTTAGGCCTAATTTACCAGTGAAAACAGAACTTCTCTGAAACATATGAAGCTTTCTGCCTTTTCTTTTCTTTTTTTAAGTATGGCATTCTTTATTCACTCAAAATAATTGGAATGTTAAATGAAGTTAAAAATGGAGTGTTTTCCACCAAATTAATATCCAAAACAGCTAGTTTATAACAAAAATGAACATAGGATTTTTATCTGACATTTTTTTTTTTTATGAATACAAATTTTATTTTATTTATTTATTTTTTTAACATTTTATTAGGGGCTCATACAACTGTTATCCCAATCCATACA